TTCCTTCCTTCCTCTTTCATCTATCTATCTATCTATCTATCTATCTATCTATCTATCTATCTATCTATCTATCTATCTACCTACCTACCTACACACACACACACACACACACACACATGTTCTCTCTGTGTGTATATGTATGTATGTGTGTATACACAAACATATCATCATCGTTTTAGCCATTGTCTATCCACTGCAGGATGAAGGCCTCTTCCATATGTTTCCAACAATACAGTCCTGAGCTTTCTATATTTGTATACACACACACACACTAACAAACACACACACACAAACAAACACACACAAACACACACCTGTGTGTGTGTGTGTGTGTTACATTTCCACAGTTTCATTGTTCCAAATTCCTGCTATCACCAACAATGAAACAATATCTCTGTTCAATACCGAATCTGGAAACCCACAAGATTTGCCCCCCACACACACCCCAAATGGATTTTTAACGGATGCAAATAATTTGCCCTCCTTCATACATTTATGGAGAACAAAGCAACCCAACACAAGACACAAACCAGCTACCGAGGTCTACCTCAGGCTTTCAAATCCCAAATACGGGTCCCTCCGAGGCGGCTTTGCAAAAATAAAAATAAAAATAAAAACCTGCTTGAGAGGTCGAAGAAAAAAAGAAGAGAATTTCTCCCCGTTCAATCACGGAGTTTTCGGATTTTGTTTTGTTTTCCAGCCTAAGATTTCACCCTCGGACAGGCCTTCCCCGAGCCATTAATACAGCGACCTGGAAATGGTGGGATATTGCTACAGCCATAGGTTTGATTCTATTTAGGGGATCCTTTCCACACCTTTGCAAAAGCCAGGAAGAAGCCGTGGAGGTTGGGGGGGGGTGATTGGCATCTGAAGGGCGAGTCCTTTCTGAGGGCCCCGGGACCGCAGGGGCCGCTGTGAAACGGGACATCACCCCACTTTTTTCCAGGTACCTAGACATTGCAAAGGAGGGATGATGCTTCGGCTCTTTTAATTCCCAACATGCAGCTGTACCAATGTTGATTGCGGGGTAGTTTTTATTATTATTATTTTAATTTTTTAAAAGGGTCTCTTGGAAACACGAACATTGCAGAAGGCAAGAGAAGCCCCAGAAAAGGGTGGGATAGAAACCGTATTGAAAGGGGCAGCGGGAGAGAAAGTCAAGTGTGCCTTCGAAGAATATTTCCCGGCTTTTACCTGCCTCTCAGTGGATCTGAGTGGGCCGGATAAACTTATATATATTCTCGGCTGGACGTTCAAATCTTTCCTTCGTGGGTTGGGGGGAAGGCGGCTGTATTTCTCAGACTACGTGTGAATATGTGTCTGTCTGAAATTCCCATTATAGGAAATGGTCCAACCGGATGAGAGGGAAATTACTACTCTTTTTTTCTCCACCGCTTTACAAACCGACAATAAATTTTATAACAGGTAGTTAAAAGTTACGACGAGGAAGGAACGATCAAACCACAACGGAGGCTTAGAAGGACAATGGGACGGGCCCGTTTTCTACAGAGAGAAAGGCGGCCCAAAATCAGCTTCCCCGGAGCAAGAAGGGAACCTGCGGGCTCCCTCCTCCGGTACCCTATATCGCCCCCCCTCCCTTAATGCCACCGTTCCCAAGTCAACCCTTCCCAGACAAGGTGGCGCGTCCTTTTCCTTTAGGAGCGGGTGAGAAAACCACTTCGCATCTGATGGCCCGGGAAAGAAATCGCACTTCGGTTTTTGCGAGAGGAAAAATAAATAAAAGGCGTCTATCAAATCAGGAAGCGAAGGAGGAAGGACGCTCTGGGTGAGAAAGAGAACCCTTCAATTTCTCCCGTCTTTCCCCAAGAAATCTTCCAGGCTAGGCCCAAAGAGTCGAGGCTTCAAAGTTTTTGTCTAGGCGGGTGAAGTATCATTTGTGTACATCTCCAAGGACAAAACTGGACCTAGTACCGAACCCTTCCCCCCCCTCCCTTCCACGGATAGAATTTACTACCAAACGGCTGATGGTGATGAGAATAATAAATTCAGAGAAAATGAGCAATATGCTTCGATGCAGTTTTTTGAGAAATTGTATTTTCTTTTTTCGCAAATCACAAATGGAGACTGGTAGAAATTTTGATTGGCTAATAAAAAAAAAGGGAAAAGTGCAGAATAGAGTGGTATTTCTTACTCCAGGCGGGTGAGTGAGCCTCATTTCAGAAAGACTGAAGTAATGATCGTTTCCAAAACAGCAACTTTCTGAAAAGCTTATCTTCTTTTAAATTACTTCCAACAATAAAAATGGCCATCGCCTCTCCTTTCCTCTTTTCCTCCTCAAATGTCGAAGTGATTATCCGAAACCCCCCTTACAAATAAACGCATATTGTCTAACGATGTTTATAAGCTATAAACATTTCTGCGTCCCCCTATGTAACAGCTTTTCCTTGCAATTTCGATAATTTAGCTTCTACCTCTATGATAGATAAGTCTCATTTGGGAGATTCCTTCAAATCGAGCCACTCAAGAATGTAGGCTTAAATATGATGGATAAAGTGCAGATGCAGCTCTCCCTACTTTTCTTTTTTTCTTTCTTTTTCTGCCCTCGCTTTTTCAGATCCCGTCTTTGAAATTAAATTAAATTAAATTAACTTTCCTCTCCTTGCAGGGATTATATTATATATAATATTATAATATTATAATATGCATATATATATATGGGAGACTGTGCATTCCAATTATTGCCTTAAACTTTGGGGAATAAGGTGGAGGAAAGGAAATAAAGAGAAAATTCTTCAGGGCTTTTTTTTTTAGGTGTCAGTTCATGAAAGGATCAGATGCTTTCAAAGCCTGGCTTTGAAAGGTGTGGGTTTGTATTTGGTTCATTCCTTCAGGGGAGAAGAAGGAAGGAGGCAATAGCTGGTGAGGTGAATTACATTCTGAATGCACACACACACACACATAGACGCAAAATTTCTCCCTCTCCTTCTCTCTCTCTGTCCCCCCTCGTCGTCGTCCCCCACACACTTAGGCAGACAGACAGCGAGTTTAAGCAAAGGCGGGTTCTCTTCCAGTTTTGAGGAGTAATAAAACAGCTTACCTTTCTACTCTCTGGCCTGCTAAAGTCGACCCGAGGCAAAGCTTTATGATCGACCCCTTGCAAAGACCAGGCGGATGGAGGGTGGGTGGGTGGACACTAGGGTGTCCACTCAAGGAGATGCCCTTTAACGATAGGGCGGGAGAGCGTGTGCTCCAGGGGGGCAAGAACTTTTGGTTGTGGGTTCGAATTATTGCCGCTGGGATTGAAGTCTGCCTTTGGGACGGGACCTTGAAGTGAGGAATGGGACCGGACCTTTAAGACCGGACAGGGGTTTTCTCCCCCTGCTTTCCAATCCTCAAAATGTGGAAAAGGAAAGCACCCCGGGCCAGGTTCATGAGAGCTTGCAGCAGTCAAGAAGGAGTGGGGGGGGGGGTGTTTCTGGTGCATTTGGGAGTTGCCTTTGCCTCTACAGGCAACCTGAACTCTGCTTCTATTACATTTTCCCAAGTTCCTGGGAATACCTACGCAACCTACTTTTGCGGTACCAAACAATATTGGAAGGCAGTAACATCGGATCCTTCATTGGCGCCCAAGCACAGAGGCAACCACACATCTGGACTGATCATAAACCCAATGCAATCCTAAAGCACCATCTATGGATGCAAAATAAATGTATGGATGATCTTAGGGCCTTTTCCCCCCTCTGCCCCTACCTTCCCGGAGGCCCTTCTATTGTATCCAAAGTTGCTCAGGCATATAGGAGCAGACCCCTGCACATCCCCTCCCTCTGTACATTTAGGTATTCTGGCATCTTTAAGCCTCTACACATTTAAGGTTGGAAGATAAAGGATTTCTCCCAACCGCCCCCCCTCCCCCAAATGCAGGCCCGTATCTTTTCCAGATTCTGCACACTAAGCCAAGATGCATCTTAGGAATCTTCTCGTGGCTTATCAGTGTAAACAACCTGTCCTCTTTCATACCAAATACTGAGTTAGGATAGAGTCCATTTCTCACAGATGAGATGTTGGAATATCCTGCAGAAGCTGAATGCCTTTCTTGTGCAGGCGGGAGCGCATGCACACAAATACATATCAATATGTGGGGGAGGGGCAATAGAAGGAGGAGAGAAGAGCTCAGAGGAAACACATACATGTGTGTGAGTGAGTGAATGAGTGAGTGAGTGAGAAAAAGAGAGGGAGATAAAGAGGGAGTGGGGCGAGACAGCTTAAGTATACCTATGCATGCATGTTATGGACAAACAGGTCTTCTGAGATAACTCATAAATGCTTAGTACAGTGTGTAAAGTGTGTATGTCTGTGTATACTGCACACATGTATGTTATTCCTTCAGCTGGCTGCTACTGCCTTACAAATAAGTACATTACACCACAGACTACTTTGTAGCTCTTCTGCTGAAAATCTTATCCTACTTGTTTTATTTTCTTGATAAAGAGCAGAAAGGCTGGTGGTTCCTTCCGCCCTTATTTTCAACCTTAGCGTAAGAATAGAGAATACAAATCAAAATAAGATTACTCAAAGCAGGAAACTATGCAAGGACCTGACCTGCGCAATAAAGAGATTTCCAAAGAAAAATTCTTTACAGGAAGAATTGATTTGAAAGGAATGAGTGAGAAGATCCTAATGAAGGCCATACATTTAATAACAAAGAAATGAAGTGGTATTGTAAAGACAGTAATTGGGAGCCCTGGGGGTGGTGGTGGGGGGACAGTAATTGGGAGCCCAGAGCTATGTTTCGGTTTGGGTAGGGGGCGTTGTCCCCCACTCCTCTGGAAGAGGAGGAGGAGGAGACAATCCCTGGATCCATGTGTAGATTCAGGATTTGTTTGTGTTAACCCGAAGCTCAAACCTTAACGCGTGTATTTTCTTTTTTCCTGGAAGAAAAATTCCATTGTAACTTTTCTAGCAGAATGCAACTAAGAAAACTTCTACCATGACACTTAATTCCACCAGTGAAAAAACTGGTCAGGATATTAAGGGATACACAAATAGAGGCTCCCCAACACTCCTTTGGGCTGACTCAGCTGTGGTCCATATAGTACACAGGATGTGTGTTCCCACATTTCATATAGCTCCATCTTAATCCAGGATGCAGATATTGGAACCTCAGACTCGGATTTTCTTTCAACCAAAAGCTGGATCTTGGTTTTTAGGCTGTCAGTAATTTGAAGGCACCAGTAAGTTTTAGCAGGTGAGTTTATAGGGGTGGGTGGATCTAAAGGATTGCCCACCTATTAAAAAGCTCAATCTAGTTATTTCCCCCTTAAATTTTATTGTTTATTTACGTAATATCTCACGTATACAATACAAATCCACGGTCAGCCAGAATTGCATTTCCAGCCGAAATTGCTACATTCAGAGTTTTGAACACGTAGAAGACTATGGTTGACATAAAACAGATGACATTTCTGTGTGGGTGTACTTCGAGCATCTTGCATTAACAGATAAGTCAAGACAAATAGATAACTATACATTCAGTGCAATTAAGTCCTAACTACATTATAAGCACAATAAAATAATACAATACTGTGCGTCCTTAACTAGGCAGTTTCAGTTGTTGGGAATTTTTTTTTCCAAAAAAAAAAAACCAAACCAAAAACAAAACAAAAAACGAAAACAAAAAACAAAACGTAAGCAGCAACATACGACAACAAAACCGCATTACAAATACTTTCAAAGCATGATTCCTTCTATAGGTAGTGATAAGATACATTACAATGGTTTTGATCTTATTAATTATTATTAATAATATTATTATTATTTTCTGCTACTTAGTAGCTTGCATTAGGGCAATACACAACTCTTCTCAAACGGATTATGATGCTGTGGTTTTTGCAGTACTTTATTACGTTATTTTACTACTGTATAAGCCCCCATCTTGTTGCTAATTATTGCAGGTTTCCCATTAGGTAGTACATGAAGAATGCTCACACAAGTGATCTAGCAAATAAACACATCGCCCCAGAAACCTTAATTTAGCTCCCTCTCTTTCACGGGTATCCTAAGTATATTTATTCCTGGATCAGAGTAGAACTCGCCCCCCCCCCATATGAGGGTGTTTAGGGGTACACCCGTGTCCTGCAAATCAGAGGGCGCCTTGTAGGTAAGTTCTCTCTTAAGTCCGTAGAAACCCAGTAAGCGTGAAATGTTTGTCTTCAGGAACCTGCCGAGCCTCCACCTTTCCTAAATGGACAACTCGCCAACATCAGGATAACAATTGTCCTTTAGGTGGTTGTGGCCGACAGCTAAAAGCGAAATCATAAATGTACCTTAGCTTGGAGGAGTAGATGAGTAGATAAGCTTGTTGCTGTTGTTGCTTTCCTTTAAAAATTAAGATAAACCTAAGTGATTATCCTGCTCTCCCTCACAACCCCCTTTAGAGCATTAAAGGATGGGGAGGGACGGCTGCAAGAGGCATTTCCAAAGAAGTATAGACGATGGCTGTATTTTTGTTCTTAGAACAGGGGAAATTGCAAGGAGTTGGGTTGGTGGGAGAGATGCTGGTGTTACTGGGGTGGGGTGGGGGAGGCCAAGGTAAATGGTACTCAGAAACCTAACTCTGAGTTTCAATGTGGTTGCAATCAATCCAGTTCCCTCTTTATTTTTAGAGTGAATAATAAAATAAAGAAATATCCGCTGCTATTGGAGTGGGGAGAGAGCAGGGGAAGTACTGTGACAATAAAAAAGGGGGCTGCAACTGTTTGACAGGTAGTTACTGTTGTGTGTGAGTCTCTCCGTTCTATACTCTATAAAAGCGAATGACCGTCGTAAACATCTCGGATTTATCATCCGCCATAAAATGAGGACTTCAAGGAGACGTCAGTCCTTGCTTTCTTCTTTTTCCTCCTCTTCTTTTTCCTCTTCCTCGTTGGTTTCCTCCTCTGTCTTCTCCTCATCCCTGGCTCCCGGTAGCTTATCCTTGTTGTTTTCTTTCTTCCATTTCATCCTCCGGTTCTGGAACCAGATCTTGACCTGCCTCTCTGTCAGTCCGAGGGCGTGAGAGACCTCAATGCGCCGCTTTCGTGTCAAATAGGGGTTGAAGAGGAATTCCTTCTCTAGCTCCAAGGTTTGATATCGGCTGTAAGTCTGCCTGCCACTGCGCCTCCCGGGAGCTGTGTGACACCAATAATAATAATAATAATAATAATAATAATAATAATAATAATAATAATAATAATAATAATAATAATAATAAACAAAATGAATATGAATAAGAAGAACAAATACATGTTAGAACCTTTTTTCCCTTCCTTTTAAATTTTTCTTTCTGTTTTTTTCTCTCCTACAGGAAGCTCCTTCCTTCCTCCTTCCTTCCTTCCTTCCTTCCTTCCTTCCTTCCTTCCTTCCTTCCTTCCCCCACCCCTTCTCTTCTCTTCAAACTCCTAATGTCCTACCCGCATTCCTACCTGCCCACAGCCAACCCTGGCTTGAAATTAAAGGCAACTTCCTAGACAGAATCAGGTCGGGCAAGCTTGCTTCTTTCCCTCCCCTCCATCCTCGGTGTGGCAAACCCGGAGTTTTCTGACTTTCTAGCACACAATGCAGCCTCTTCCTTTCTCCATCTTGGCTGATGGAAACCCTCAGGATAGGCGTTTCACTCCCGCTTCCTTTTTTTTTTTGTTTTCCTGCTTCTTGCTTGTGTGTGGGAGTGTCTTCCCAATACATCCATATGCATGGCTGTGGCAACCGAGGCGTTGAAAATGCAATCCAACGATTATAGATTACAGTCAAAATACTCGGCTGTATCCGTATTGGCTCTCCATAATCTATGGTGTCAAATGCCACAGATGCTAGGGATGTATTTACCCCATTCTTCTAAGTGCCCCACTAGAGGTTTGCTTAGAAGTCAAAGCGCACAATCACAACAATAACTTTTGATCTTTTATTCCCCCCTACATGTTTGATCCTAAGCCTTTCTGGGCCTCGTTCTAGTGATCTTAACAAAACAACTGGGTTTTAAAAAGCAGGGACGTTTTGACTGAAACTGTCCTTTCATTTCCCTCTGTAAAACAATCAAGACTCCACATGTTTTAAATTAAAAGGCCTTCTAAAACAATACTCTATAAAAGCGAAACTCGCCCTAGGTAGCTATGTTCTAGCACTCTGTGGAGCATCTGGGTGTAGTTTTTTATATCTAACAACATATATAGGAATTATAATTATTAGTAGAGATTATTTTTTTTTAAAACCCTAGAAAAATGAAATTTTAAATTGGACCACACTGCCCTTCAAAGGTTTTAAGTTTTAATTGCAATCCCCACTCAAAACAGCCATCTCTTCTCAAGCAGTATCTCTCTCTCTCTCTTTTTAAGCTCACCTTTCAGCCCAAGGCGCCAAGCGGTTAAGCAAAGCTATATGACATTTTAGAAAAAGCAGCGTATTATGAACATGCTAATAACCTCGTGGGAGCTGTTTCTTACTGCTCTCCTCCCGGCAAGCCATAAAAAGAAAGTTTTACTTTATGGTGATTCAAACCCAGAAATCACCTTCCTGACTTTTCAAAGACAACGGCAGCCCTTCTACTTTTTAAACGAGAAAACAACAACTCCCCACCACCACCACCCACCCCGGTCCCCGCCATTGCCCAAACAGGAAGGGGGAGAAAAAAACACACACAAAAACAGGATTATAACCGACCCCTCTGTTTCTCTATCTGCCTTTCCCTGTCGCTTCAAAATACAGATTAGACTTTCCCCTCCTCCCTCCTTTCTTTCTTTTTCTCTCTGCTTAAATAGGGAAGGAAAGCAAAACAGAACCACGTTAAGAAGGAAAGAGAGAGGGGGAAGGGGAAAAAAAGGATCCTAACCGTGCGGTCTCATCCATGGGAACATGAGACTGGGAGAAGAATTTTGATTTAAATGCCCTTGTCCCTCGCTAGAGTTACTGTTGGAGGAGGATTTACAGTCAGGATATTGAACCACGGCCGTCTCTTGCTGGGCACCATAAAGCGACTGTCTTGGTAGTGCTTCGTATCCATAGAATTTAGACGCCTCTCCGTGGCACGCCAGGGCGCAGGGGTTTTGCTGGTATCCAGAGTTAGAGATACTGGAGGTTCCGTGGTGGAAGAACTCCTGGACGTGATGTGACGGGTGTTGAAAGCTGGGAGCCGTGGTGCCCGGACCGTACACGAGCGCATGGCTTCTGCTCACACTTTGTGGAAATCTGCAGTCGTAGTAAGTTGGTTCCAGGGACTCGCCGCCTTTGTACTTGGAGAAAAGAGGATTTACAAAGTAGGAGCTCATGGTAGCTCTCGCATGAAAGGGAAGAAGGAAAGTCAACCTTTAAAAAAAAAAGTCTTTAATTCTATGAGATAAGTGCTAAGGACTCTCGTCCTCCCCTCTCCCTGGACTCCGCAAAGTCCTGGTTAGTGGCTGCTGGTGTTTTTTTTTTTTTTTAATGCGCTCTCCCTCTCTCTCTCTCCCCCCCCCCCTCTCTCTCAGAGACGTTTCATAGTGCCTGAGTGGGTATGGCTGCTTATGGCTAACGCTCTTGACTTCTCTTATATCCGTCGATAGGTAGAGCTCTCTCTCAGTTTCTCTTACTTGTTCCCTTCCCCTTAACACCACAGGCAAATTCCTCAAACTCCCGGTGGTGAGGCTCTCTCACACGCGATCTGGATTCATCAATCCAACCCGCCAAGGCAGGCTAGGAAGAAGAGACTGACAAGGGGAAATCGCGGGGTTCGCGGCGAGGTGACGGGGAGGTGAGGGAAGCAGCCCTTCGGAGGAGGAAGGAAAGAGGGGGGAATCAGGCGCCCTCATATCGAGTGGATGGAACAGGGTTATGAAAGGTGCGCAGTAATACCCTTAGGTGCTCGCTCGCGCGCTGGCTGGCTCTCTCCCTCGCTTCCCCCTCCCTCTGCTACGAGCCTCTTCACTGATCTGAGCAAATACATGCGCGGCGAGGTCAATTTAGGTTACTTCAACAGGTAATAGGTAGAAAACTCCAATCCGGATCATTTTCGCTGGGGAGAGTGGTCAGCAGAAGGGAAATGCCAGACATCCATATCGCAGGCCATAGGACTTGGTTAGAGCAACCCTGTCCCCCCCCCCCATGCTTTTCAAAAGATGGAATTGTCCCTACATAAGGAGGGTGTGAGTCAGAATTCAAGAGAGGGGCCACGAGTCCCATTTCAGAGGAACAACCACCCCCAAGTGGATGGAGGCAGTGTTGGTGTTGTTTCCCTCCCCCCACCTTTTGTTACATACAAGTTTGGTCCCCAGAACAAAGATGGCGGGGACAATTAGTGTATAAGCATTTATATTGGGTGGGTGGGTGAGACTGAAGTGGTCCACAAGGCATCCCTTGAAGGGGTCCATGAGGAACAGCCAGGTCTGAGTAATGGAAAGAGATGTATAAGGGGAAAGGGATGTATACATTTGTGAAAGGATACTGCTGGGAATAGGAAGAACTTGGGTAACAGAGGCCAGGACCTATCCTATTATCGAAAGTTGGGGGAATGGTTCACATATCTTATGCATGTGGTATGTTTCCAATGTGTAGCCTTTGCAAACCTCTCCCACACCACATTTCCACCCCCCTCCATACTTTTTTTCCACTGCACAGTGACCATTGGCTGAAGACCATTGGCTCAAAGCATTCAGTTGGGAAATCCCCCCCCCTTTTTTTAAATGGCTGCATTAAAGAGTTCAGGCCATTAAACAGAAGCATAAAAATCAGCAACCTTCTCTTTTCTAAAGTTTGTGGGTACATATTTCCTGTGCCTTTTAAAAACAAAACAAAAAAGGATTAAAAAAAATCAAACCCACTGGAATAAATTAAGTGTCCTCTAGGCCCTTTCATTAAACTTACCAGAGAAAATTTTCTTACATTCCCTCCACCCTCAAAATCTTCATAGTATTTTTCTTTTCTCCTTCTCTTCCCCCCAGAAAATGGCAACTAAACTAAATTTCAGGAGGGAGGGGAGAGGAAATCGAAAGTGCTAGGCAGTGTGCAGAAAAGCAAAGCTAGGCTGGCCTATGACTGCAATAAAGATTGAGTTGAATTTGAAAGAGGAAACCACTGTGTCCACCTCTGAGAATATTCACCCCTCACATTTCCTTTTCTTTTCCTGAAACAAACAGCATTAGTTCCTAAATCCTTTGAAATCAGAGGAACAACTACCACACAAGGTGTCCCTTCATTATACTTTTTCTCAACACACACACACACACAAACACAAACACACAAGATGGAACCAACAGCCAACCATTCTTCAATACAACTGGATCATCTGAATGGTGCAAAAAAAATGGTGGTGGAGTGGATCCCCTCCCTTTTCCCTCCCACAAAACACCAAGTCTTAATTTAATTTAATTTTTCTTCTTTCTATTTTTATTTAATCAGCACATTAGATCAAATACGATTTTAAATGATAAAAGTCCTCTACATTTATTTCTACACTGGAGGCAAGAAAAACCTACCAGATCTTAAATCAGAGAATCCTGAAGCCCAACCTCAGAAGCTCTGAAACAGCAGAACAATTTTGGGGTTTTCAACTTGTCTTAACTTGGCAGATTTTAAAGCTCAGAGTCATCAACAGGATAATTTACCATAACTGGAAAGCAAAACATTTTTGAATTTTGAATTTTTGGCACGATTATCTTAATTCTATAGTAGAATATATTGAGTGGTGTGGTATGTGTGTATGTATGTATGTCTGTGTGTATAACATATGTTCTTATGTACTACTATTAGAAAGTTCTGTGATGATAGAAGGTTGGTCCTTATATATATATCTCTGTCATACAGATTTTTATTTGATTTTTTTAAAAAAAGATTTATCTTCATACACAAAGAAAAAGGAGAAAGGCAGTACAGAACAACCTGTTTGTCATACTAGGAAGAGCTACCAGAGACACATCCAAAAGACAGAAAAGTAGGAAAAACTTCTAATAAAATTCATCTTATACATTATTTTATTGTAAAGGCAGAATCATTTTGGGGTGTGGTTTTTTTTTTAAACGCTCATAGAGGACGCCACGTTTATTTCTGCCCGGATGGTTCAAACTTGCATCAATGTTGATGAAATATAGCATATAAACTACGCCATATGCTCTCATTATAAATAACTGGATTCTGCAGTGCTTCGGTTCAGGCTATAAAACGTTAATTGCTCGCCTTCTTTGATTACATAGATCTGTATTTTGTCTTCCTACAAATAAAGGTAAAGACACGGAATATCTTTTGTGCAAAATGTGCGTGTATGTCTACTAGCCAAGGAATTAAAGAAGAGTCCCCCCCCCTTTCTGTTCATAACGCCTTAAGGGTAGGGCTGAGGGACCCTCCTTGTTTTTACATGCAGGGCCCAGCCATCCCGAGCTTGTGCTCCAACCTAACTTTGACGTTGTTTTGCAAGTCATCGCTGACAGAGGCACATTCAGCCCCTCAGATTCTGGAGCTCGGCTTTCCCCCCCTGAAATCGTCCTGACAGGCCTTTGGAGGTAAGGCGCCGCTTTTTTTGTAAATAAAGCGACTCGGGGGCGTCTAAAGATTGAGCAACAGCGCCATCTCGCGCCAGTTTGTCCCCAAGACACGCGCCCTGCGGAACGGGGCCGAACGGTGGGAAGGAGGAGAGTCCCTTTCGGGGGGTCAAAAATAGAGAGAGAGATCTCCCAGCACCACCTTCTTCTTCTTCTTCTTCTTCTTTTCTTTTTTTTACTCCACCCATCCCTTCCTCCCCTCGCCTCTCTCCTCCCCCCCCACCCCGCATTCCCTGTCCATGCATACTATTAAGTCCCATAGGAAACAAAAGCCGTGTAAAATTTCCCATTTCTTTTCCTAAACAACAACAACAACAACAAAAGCACGGAAAGAATTAGAACATCTGGCCTTACTCAATCAACAACAGATTCCTAAAGCTTGGAGGAAAAATAGGTTTTAATTATTGGAGGCGCACCCTTTGCTCAGGTTTCTTCTGCCCCCCCCCCCTTCCGCCCTGCCCCAGCTAAAATCCCGGTTCTCAGAACAATAACCCTCGCGCACCCCGCTCGCGCGCGGGCACACACTCACCCCCCTTTACACCACCGCCCGAGAGAAAGGCAGCCGCTTTCCCCCTCACCTCTCCTGTCAATCTTCCCCCTTCCCCCACCTTCCCGGTTCACAACCTTTAAAAATAAATAAATAAATAAATAAAATAGGGCTTGCTCCTCTGCCAAGCGCTAGGAGGGGGAGCGAGGGNGTTCAAGAATACGAGAACAAGAGAGGCAGCGGCAGCTACTACTACAACAATCGCGTTGTTCCTTTTTATGGTTTTTGTCCAAGAAGAACCAAGATTTCCAATACAATCACAGCAGAGGCGGCTTGGAAGTGAGGTACAGTTTCAACCCAGTGGAGGGAAGGGGGTTGCAAGGCTTAAGGAAAGTGGATGCTATGGGGCTGAAGGGGGGAAGAGAAAAGGGACATTCAGAGGACAGAAAAGGAGGGGGGAAAACGCCTCCCCCAGGGAGATGGAGTAACCACTAGGGACACACTCAAGGCTCAAGGCTTAGGTCTCCTCTTGATACAGGAGGAGGCAGTGGGTTTATTTTTAGGCAGCTTGTTGGGGAAAAAATATCTGAAGGTGCATTTGGGCAGGGAGGCAAAAGTAGCAGACAGAGCTCTTTTCCCCGAAGACCTCTCAGTTAGTGCTTATTCACTGGTTATTGTCCTCCTCCTCCCCCCTCCTTCTTTCTTCTCCCTTGAAAAAGACGCTGGAAAAGTTGTTTGATGGAATTGATTAAAGATTCCTGAATGGGTATTAACTCAGGAGTTCTTGACCGGTGTGCCATAGCCTGCTCTGGCGGGAGTAGTAAAACTGTATTCCATTCCATATGGAGCAGACTTGAAATAGAAATACTGTAAGGTTTGGACGTGTGCCCTAGTGTCTCTGCATCCAAGATTTGAAAACAGTCTTGCTGCAAATTCTGTACTAACCCTCTTCTGCCCACAGTTCTCCTGTTTTCAACCTTGCACTTTCTGCATGAGAAAGTGTCCTGTAAGGAACCGAATGTGTCCTTTGGCCTGCCTTGAGTTCAGTTTGTCTGTCAATCACAATTCTCTAATGACCTCTGAATCTTGGGGGGAAAGTTAGTACCTAGGATGCTTCGATGATCTTACCTCTGGGCTTTATGCGGGTAGAAATATAAGAGCATATGGGTGGGTGGGTGGGTGGGTGAGGATGCAAAGGGGGATATGAAACATTGGAGGATATGAAATCCTTGCTTAGTTGCACTGAAGAAATATAATTTTCTTTGTAAAGAATCAACCTTCCATCTGTTTGACAGATTGAATGGGTGAAGAAGCTGCTTTCTTTTGAATATATATATATTCAATATATATGTGTGTGTATGTGTTTGTGTGTGTTTGTGTGTGTTTGTGTGTGTGTGTGTGTGTGTGTNGGTAGACAAAACATTCCAATAATCCGGTTTCAAAGGGAAGAGCACCCCACCTTATTAAAACCATAAAACGATTAAGGCCAGACGTCTAGCCGGTTCCGTGGTCCTGTTTTTGTTCAATTCTATTCAGCGCGGAGACAATCAAAGTTGTAAAAGCTGGCATTTTTTGGGCTGCGGAAATGTACCTCTGGGCTGCTTTCAAAGCTGCTGTATCCTGTCTTTTTTGTATTGACTACAAAAGGATTTCTGTTTGGGGTTTTGCTTTTGTTTCTAAGGACATGATGAGAGGCCCACTCCTTCCTTCCTTCCTTCCTTCCTTCCTTCCTTCCTTCCTTCCTTCCTTCCTTCCTTCCTTCCTTCACTCCTTCTCTCCCTCTCCAATGCGTATACACATTCACACCTACCCCCACCCTTATATAACATCCACACAAGCAACACCACCGAAAAACGGAGGTGGGGGTGTTATTATGGAGATTTTTAATTTAGAAACAAAAGAAAGCACAACGAATCTGGCTGAGGCGAGAAGCAGGGTTCTCCAACGAATGCAAGGGTGCTTGCACAGTCCATCCTGTTGGGTGACGATGCTTGAAGATACAGTCCTGATATGCATATTGGACTACGTTATTCACAGTTACTTCTGGGAAAATGTACAGGCAGAGAGAGAGAGAGAGGGAGGGAGGGAGGGAGAGCGAGGGAGGGAGGGAGAGGGAGAGCCATCCATATATGCCTGCCTTTAAATTATATCTATGAAAGGAGATGCCCTGAATTTTGCGTGGAAGACTTGTACAGAAACTGACACTATATTCCTCCATAAAACAAAGCAGGCTAGAAAGAAACGGGGGAAGGAAGAGGGGGGGAGGGAGGGAGAGGAGGAGGGAGGGAGGAGGGGAGAGAGAACAACAGTCTTATGGAAACAAAGGAAGCATAACTTACATTCTTTTCTTCACCATTACCTCCAATGGGAGCTCAGCTCTGCTGAAGACTATTGGGTAGGGGTGAGGAGGAGGGGTTGGGGGAGAGAGAAAGGTGAAAGAGGCTGCATCTTTAGTCATCTTGAAAATGAGGTCTGGTGGAACTGGAAGGATCTTCAAACATGGGGAAGGCTCAAAGTTAATAAAAGAGACACAGGCTGGGCACTAGTCTATCACAGAGATGGTGAGAAAAGGAAAGAAGGAAGGGAGGGAGGGAGGGAGGGAAGGAAGGATTTTAAAGATGGATATTCTTTTTTGTTTTATCTTTCCAAATTCACATTGAATACAGGGTTGTAACTACCAAATTGCCTCAGCCAGCATTCCTGTTATCGCAGACAAAAGGAAGACGAAGGGAGGGGGTTTATACATATTTATTTATTGCCCTTTACACGGAACTTTTCCAATCTTTCCTGCCCTTCCGCATTGCTGAGTGCTCGGACCCTCTTGAAAAACACTGCACAAAGCTAAAGCTTAGCTGTTAACATTTTTTGTTCCAACGGATAAGCATTTCTTTTCCTGCTCCCAAGTCCCACCTCCCAGGTCTTATGCAACCTAGAGAAACACACAAGCCTGCAAACTTATTTTCATAAACGAAAAGCAGACAAAAGTACGAAGAAATCGTTTGAGGACATCAGAGGGGCAAAAGGTTCCAGATTTTTTTCCCCTTAAAAAAAACACCACCATATTTATTTTGTTGTTCGTGCCTAGAAAGGCTTGGAACGAGCAAGCCGCGATCTGTTTACCATTAAAAAGTAGAAGTTATTTGGCTTCGTTCTTTTCAAGAAAAGCAAAGCTTTATATAAACAACTTGGGATGAAGCATCTCACAGGCGTCTTTTCCCTTTTTTAAATAATAATAATAAGAAGAAGAAGAAGAAAATCCTTTGACTTTCATTTAAACGGCCCTGGCTGCCTTTGTAGAAAAAGATTTTTAAATGAGCTAGGAAAAATTAGAAAATCCTGGCCTGCTTCCACCGTCCCGGAGCCCCCTCCTCGCGCTGCCACCTTTCCCGCCGGCCCCGTGTCATTTAACTCGTTCCTAAACAGAAAGACCCTCGGAGTTTTAACACTCCCAGATTCCCTTTCTCCCTGCCCGAGAGAAAGCGGTTTTAAAAGGGGGCCAAGGGGCTAGGGGCGGGGAACCTTCCGATCCGAATTCCACTCCCTTAGGCTTTATAACATTTTAAGCTTTTTATTATTATTTAGATGATGCTCTCTCGCTATTCAGTCCTAACACTACCATTAGGAGCACACCATCCCCCCCTCCTCTCCCCCCTCCCCTGTGGTGGTGGTGGTACATTACGAACCTAATTCGTAATTGCTTGGGCCCCCAAGCGAGGCACTAACAAGTTTTTGGCACTTCGCTGATAATCCCAAAGCGTTCCAATAGAATAGTCTCCGAGCGATCACAAAAGTAAAGAGTAAACTATCTGCGAGCAAAACCGGACCGAAGCCCGTATTTAATCTGGTACACATTCTTTGATTGCCCAGGGTCATAAATTAGTACAATTAATTACCCCAAATTAAAATGCAGAGCACCCTGCCGCCTTTTACCCGAATCTTCTCTCTCTCCCCCCTGTCTCTCTATTTTACGAGCAGTGGCATTAGGCAGATATTGGTATATTGAGAGACAAGGAGAAAGGTTCAGGAGCGGAGAGACCGAGAAAGGAAAATAAAATAAAATAAAATAATGGTAAACATTGGGAGCCGAAGATCTGTTCTTTTCCTACAACTTCCCGAGAGAAGATATTCTGGTCTTCTATTTTCCGAAGGAAACCAGCTGTAATTAAATTGACCTTTTTTCTCCAGAATTTGTATCAGTAAGAATCCCAATCAGTGTCTCTCTCTGCCCTTTCCTTCCTTTACAATTTACTCGGGGGAGGGGGTATTATTCCTCCATAGGAGTTTACAGGTTGTTGTTTTTTAAAAAGACACCTTGATTACCGATGGATTTTTTTCCTCCTTTTTTGGGGTGATGTTAGGTATATATTTACAGAAAGCTGTTCTACTATAGCAAAACATAACAGTGTTACAGAACGGTTCTGTGACAATCAGAGAAGACACAAATAAGTACACCAATTCCACACGAGGACAGAAACATTGTTTTGAGCAATCACTCCCCCCACCACCATTTTTTTCCTTTCTCCTTCTTTCCACCCCCCACCCTCTTTTATTCTTTCCATTGTACAAAATATGCAACCACAACATCATAAAATAATAATTAAAAAAAAACCACTGGATAAATTTAACTTACAAAATAAAATACTAATCCAAAAATTCAAGTACTTTGTTGTTTTTCTGAAAAAGAAAAAAAGTTTATTTTTAGTTGCAATTGTTAGGGATGTGTGTGTGTGTGTGTGAGTGAGTGTTTTTGCATTTTGTAAAGAAAAGCACTTTTTATGTTTCTCTTTCCCTCTGTCTCTGTCTCTCTCATTTTTTTTGTTCCAGAAAGGTTTGCGTGTTTAACTAATTCTAAACACTCATCAGCACATTAAGGGGGAAAAAGTCAGGAACAATTTCTTTCTTCGGAAAAACCAGCAGCGCCTTGATTTCTCCACAGACTGGAAGGATGTGGCCAGTTTCACTGCTGCTCTTTGTTATTATTATTATTATCGGTTTTCTCTTTATTCATTTTCTTCATTTTCATCCTCCTGTTCTGAAACCAGATTTTGACTTGGCGCTCAGTGAGATTAAGAACCCTGGCCACTTCGTAACGGCGGTCCCGAGTTAGGTACATATTGAATAAAAACTCTTTTTCTAGTTCCAGCGTTTGATACTTTGTATAAGGACATCTTTTCTTTCTTGTAGAACGCGCATGAATCCAATTTGCAACAGGATTATCTGCAAAATAAAATTGGGAGGTTTAATTTATTATTAATTGTTTATTTACCTACCCATCTCTGTTTATTCATTGATGGCAGTACCTTCCAATAGAGATGCCCTAAATTCATACCCCATCCTTATAATCTTCCTATTTATCTAAACTCTCCCATCTAAGTCTCTTTGGACAAATAGGCATTCCCTTCTCAAGCCTGATGTGACCTTCAGGATTTTTAAGGGCACATCTATTCTTTTATAGGAACTGAGTGTGCACTGTGTTCATCAGTGTGCAAGCAGGGAGGCACCAAACATTAGTGAGATTAACTAGTTCTGTTCTGCACCCTGTTTATGACTATCATTTGATTTTATTTAGCGATCATTCTCTCCCACAAGCTGCAATTCTAAAATAAAACTAGGGCCAAGAGATTGTAATAATAAGAATTATTATTATTACTATTATTACTATTATTATTGTTGTTGTTGTTATTATTATTTTAATAATAATACTAGTAATAGTAATAGTAATAATATGCCTGTCATCTCTATTAAGGGTAACCCAAGAACACAATCATGAAAAGTCTAAATTCCCACCACTTCATAGGCCCATAAACTCTGTTTACAACCCTTGGCTCTCCAGCTCTCTCCCTATAACTTCCCACTGAGGGAGCTGCCAGCAATTTTAAAAGGAATGAGAATATATATATATATATATTCAGACAGTGCCCCAGAAGAAGTCTAGTGGTTGCAATAATAATAATAATAATAACAACAATAATTCTTTCTTTTTCTGAGCACTGAAACACCATCCCTTGCACATCCTCTTTACAACTTTCTCAGAAGGAATTAACTCATCCTTCAGATTCATTATTTCTTGGGTGAAATCTGGATGTAATGAATATGTTATTTATAGTAGTAGTCTCCTTTAGTCCATGACCTATCTCCCCCTCCCTCTCTCCCTTTCTTTCTCCCTCCATGAATTTGTATAAGTGCATTAGGCTATGTGGCACAAATACAATTAAAATTATCAGGATGAACCAGTATTTGACCAGCATATCAGGCCTGGAAGGATTTCTACACACCTGGCATGGGAATCTGTCTATAGAGCATAAGGGGAGTGGAAGGGACCAGCTCTGTTTATCTCTAGATGGGCACAAAAAATGCACACACATCTCTTTTGCGGGGCATGGGAATCAATAAACAAGTGGGCATTAATTATTTCTTGGCACTGGGGTCATCTTAATTCCACCTATTTTGCTTTCTGTTTCTCCCCTTCCACCGACTGCACAAAAGGAGGAGAAAAATTTTTTCCCATGTTTAAATGGCAGATGTCCACTAGGAAATGAACATTTCACTGTGCAGAAGAATGATTACTTTTTAAAAAAAAAAGCAAAGCAAAGCAAAAGCACAAATCCCTTGGAGACCCTTTCAGCTGTTTTAACAGTGTTCAAGGTTATTTCTTCTCCTCTCTCTTTTTTTAAAGTCCCTTTACTAGTAAGTTACACTGTAGAATTCTTTTTCTTTTGAAAAAATGGAAAGGGGGGGGGGAGATGATGTGTATTATTAACTGTTCTTTCCAACGTTTGGACTTTCTCTCCCCCTCTGCTAAACTCCAACAGCGATCTGTACTTTTTCCTAAAGCCAATTATTTGTTTTCTCATCACCTCCCTTTATTTGCTGCCTCCCTAACTTTTCGATCCTCGTTCTGGATGGAGGCAAAAATATCTAGGGGAATTATTGTCTGGCGTGGGGTTTGTTTGTTTGTTTTCCCCCCTCTCTAAAGCTTTCTCACCAATCCCCCCTGCTTTTCAGTACACACCAACATCCCTAATATTCTTTCTCCTCCCACATACCCCTGATGGCTTTTGCCAGACTTCTTCCTCCAAAAGCAAGGAAGAGTGGGGCAAAGCAGGTTAGGGCTAGTTTAGAAACAAACAAAGTAGCCAAGATGCGAAGGAAAGCAAGCGAGAGAGAAGGAAGCATCCAGATCCCGTAACAATAATAATGCTCATTAAAAACAAATCCTTTTCCCCCCTTTCTTTCTTCTCCCCTCTGCCGCCCTCCTTTCCCAAATCAAATAAACCAGCTTTTCCTCCAGGTTGGTCAGATCCAAGGGAAGGACGCCAAGAATTCTAAACAGTAAAGGTAATTTCATTTTATTGAGCACTGTGCCAGGAGGCTGTAATATGCCTTCCCGGTTGTAAACAAGAATGACTTCGACTTACTAGGGTCCAATTCGGTCTTTTCTTCTTTGTGTTTGTTGGAAGCGACGGCCTCGGATTCCGGAGAGGGTATAGTCTGCGGGGTTCTGTCCCTGAGATCTCCCGGGGATCCGTACATATAATCCGGGTAACTACGTCCATCCACGGGTCCGCAGTCCCTGCGGCCGTGGAAGGCGTCGGGTTTAAGCCCGTAGTGCCGGCTGCTGGCTGGAAAACCTGGGAACGAGACCGCGCCGGAGATAGGCTCCAGCCAAGTGCGCATATACCGAGTGTCAGTTCCAATGTGTGGCTGGTGGGTGTACGGGTGGTAAACCACGGACGACTGGGAGTGCACGGGAGCCCACGAAGTGGTAAAAACGGCCGGTTTGGGGGCAAAGCTGCAGGACGGAAAATCTGCACACTCCGGTACCAATCCTGACGGTCGGGCTGCAGCAGGATGAGAGCCAGTAGCTGGGAACCGGGACGCCAGCAAGTCGTCGCTCTCGTGGCTAATCAAAGAATCTACATAATAGTTGCTTATGGGACCCGAAGCCGACATTGTTCCCCCCTCTTTTACATTCATAAGATTATTGTATGAACTGTATGTGTACTTTTTATCTTCTCATAGAACAATCAGGGCAGGTAATTATTTTTTCAGCCTTTCCTAGCGTGCCATTGGCTCCGAGGTCCCACGTGATTATATTTACCCAAAATACAGTGTAGATCAATCCGCAGGTCTTTTTTCTCTCGCTCTCTCTCCCCTCTCCCTTTCTATTTTTTTTTTTAATAATGCCTATGCGACTTGGGTTTTCATCAAACTCTTGAAATAATGCCGTTATTAGCAGCAGCGGTGGGATCTTACGTGTCGTAAGCTGAAAGGCGATTCGCTCGAGGGCTTGGCTGGCTTGGCTTGGCTGGCTGGCTGGCTCGGCGACCTGGCTTTTCCATAGCCCTGCTGCTAATGAGGGTGCAAGGTAGCTGCCTGGTGTAGCAAGGTAGTACAAGGAACTATTTCTTGACGCAATTTGTCTCTGTCTATTCGCTCGGCTTCTACAGCTTGTATTCGATAATGGATACATTACATGGAAGAGCTTTAAAAGGGGAGGTGGCCGATGGAAGGTCCACACGGAGTGATCCTGCTTGGCTCTCAGCCTCTCCGGCACCGGCTACTGAATTTTAATTACATTCATGCATGTATGTGTATGTGTATGCCCACAGATACATGTATACATACACACACGCTCCTATTTTATTTTTTGCCAGATTAAAAACCATCCGTTTCTAACATACATGTATGTGTATGTATGGAGGGAGACACTGGATGAACACACACACACATGCATGTACATACATACATACGTACGTACAAAATGCAGAAAAACACACGCATGCACGCGCGCACACTTTCTGGGAGGAAGACGAAGATGACTTTGTAAAACCCAGAGACTGGAAAAATAGCAAGAACTCCCCCAAAAAAGTGGCATTCATCTTCCCAAGAGGCTACATTATTCGGCAAGTAGTCGTAGATGTTTTTTATGTCCTTCAATAAAATTTTTACGAGGATCATTTGATTGTTCATGAATGTGTCGTTCACTAAATAAAACTGTACGAGTAAGTTTCAGTGATGAGGCATAACTGGGAGTGAGGGAGTTTGTTTTTGCAACTGAAGACAGAAAGCTAGGGTGTGTTTGTTTAAAACAATTTATTCTGTTTTCCTAGATTACTCTGTGTGTGTGTGTGCGCGCGCGCGTGCACGCATTAAAAATATCTGAAACTTTATGTCGATTAAATCGATTTGCAGAACTTCACTGAAAACACGTATCTCTCCGTGTGTGTGTGTGTGTGTGAAAAATATCTGAAACTTTATGTCGATTAAATCGATTTGCAGAACTTCACTGAAAACACGTATCTCTCCGTGTGTGTGTGTGTGTGTGTGTGCGTGCGTGCGTGTGTGTGGGTGAGTGGGTGGGT